GCCCCTAAACAAAACAGGCAAAATTCTAAAATGAACAGAATGGCTTCCTCTTAAAAAAAGAGGCCTTCTAGTGCAGATCAAAAATTTAAAGTGCTGTCGAAAATAGTCATCTTTAATCGCTTTCCCTTAAAATTTAGAATTTCTCTATCTTTTATGTTTAAGTTTCAAATTTGTGTTCATTTAAATATTAATATATTTAATTCCAGATATTATTACAACTGTACTTTTTTCAAACAATGAATTATAACAAATATTATATTCCATGGTTAAGTCGTCTCATGTAAGGGATTACAAATTCATAAATGTGGCAATCTTAAATAATACGGTTTTAATGGATGTCTTAAAAAACCCCATTCTTGAACGGGTCTTAAAAAAAATCATATCCAAGTCATTATGAATGCTATTGAATCTTATTATTATTTTTATTATTATTAAATATTCCAAATAAGTAAATTAATAGGTGTAATATAGGGTAATAAGTAATGTAAAATCTGTTATTCTTTATTACTATGTTAAACACAGTTTTTACTACTGTTTTTCAGTGGTCGCTTAACACCCTCATGCAGGCTGGCCTAAAGGAATGTTCCTAGCCCAGGCGAGATTTTCTCGTCACTTCAGAGCCTCCCACAGAATTTTCACACACTAGGTGGCTCGTGGAATTATTTCTGCCCCCTTCTGGCCCCCAAAACCCCTTCATTTTTCCTGGCCAGGCCCAGAATTGAAGCATCACATAATCAGAGGTGGCCACAGAAATGCAGGCGGGCACGGAAGTGGTCAGCAGGCGGAGTCGGAATGATTGTGATGAGGGGTTTGGGTTTGGGTTTCGGCTGGGTTTTGGCCTGGTCATGCAAGGCGCATTTCGCATTGCTTTTCCAGCAAGTCAGACAAATTATGACCACGATTTGACTGGAAAACTCTTCGAGGAAAAGGAGCTCCTACTGCCGGTCAGGCGATAAGCATTTGCGTGATTAATGAAATGTGAGGCCCAGGCCCATTCGGGAAAGAGTTGCGAAAGGCAGGCCTTTCCATAAATAAACAATTAGGTCTCGCCACCCGCAAGCCACTGGGCATTCTCCTGCCCACAAAATCCTGACTTACTGGCTCACAATGGGCGGGCTTTTCCGCTTTTCTTGTTGTTTTCCCGCTGCTTTCCCGACCCCCTCCGTCTAATTGACTCGCACTCGCCCAATTAGAACTCGTAAGCGAGCACGCTTTGCCCATTTGAATTTATATTGAAATTTAATTTAATTAATAGAGCGACTGGAGACTGAGTTGCAGTTGGAATGGGCAGTGAGTCCCAGCAACAGTCACCCACCAGGTGTTGTGTCCATTTCCCATTTTCCTGGCCTATCGCAGCGGGAAGTGTCAAACAGTCAACTCAATAACTGTTTATTTTAGTTGGCACATTTCCAATTTCGGCCTGGTCTTTCTGTGAGTTAAGTTGAGTCAGTCGTTTTTCCTCTACTTTTTTGGCCAACTAGAGCACTTTATAGTCGTATATTGTGGCTTTGGAGACTGGCAACTCTTTGTCTGCTGGGCTGGATTTGCATTTTCTATCTCAATTGGCGGTTTGCATTTCATTAGCCTGATCAATTTGGCTAAGCCAGCAAATTTATGGCAATAAAAGGTGTTAGGAGCTGGGGAATTTCGATTCGAATGGTCTTTGATTGGTGTTTGTTGATATTTAATATATCAATTTGGGTTGATCTTTACAATTCCCCTTTTTTTGGATAGGGAAAGATTCATATTTATGTGTTTGAATTAAGATGCCGATATCATCCGTCAATCATCCTAGCAATTTAGTAGACATCTGCTTTTTCTCCTGATAATAAGTATTATATAAAAACCTTAACAGGTAGATTAAGTATTTAAAATTGAGTAAGGAATATCAATAATAGTTATTCTTAAATAACTGTTTGTTATTTAAGATGTGTACCATCAACCCATAAATAAGTAATGCAGAAATAGCTTAGTATAGAATGTTTATAATTATTGTTTTTTAACAACTGATTTTATTTTTAAGTGGTAGATTATAGATCACTTTAACTGTCACGCTGTGAATTCCTGGCATAAATCAGATCATTTTACAGGCATTTTCCGCCCCTTCACTGTGCTACACCCCCTCTTCCACCTCCTGAAACCCCTCCTACGATCACTGCCCACCTGATGTTAAGGTGATCAATATCCCTGGACATCCATTGCCATCCATAACGAGGCAAACTCCCAGGCTGAAAACGCCTCCGCGCTGCCAATCCCATTTTCCGCTTTCCATCCGCCCATTTGCTACCGTTTAGCCAGATTGATTTCGGGCCAGAAGCCGCACGACTCCGCCGATCATTCCTCCCACTTTTGGAAGGGGTACGGAAGGGGTTCGGAAGGGGTTACGGAAGGAGATGGGGAAGAGGAGGCGTCACGCCCACCGGTGCAGTTTTCCCATCGCCATCGCCGGGCCCATCAATCAATTTCGAGTGCTCGACTCCACTTGCTTTTACCTGCCTCCGAATACCGAATATCTGAATATCCGAATCCGCGAGGAGGACGATGCAAAGAGGTTAGGCCTGCGAGCGCTTTTGGTTGTAAAAATTGTTTCGGCATCATTTTTCATATCCGCAACCGAAACAAAACCAAGAAAAAAGAACCCAAAGCCAGAAAACAATATCCAGTCGGCGGCAGGGAAATCGAGTAGCATCCAAACAGCAGGAGCTTCATGGAGTGATGGGAAACCGAAAGGTGAGTTCTGTCATTCGGAGCTGACTTTTTGAATTCCCTATAAATTATATGAATTTATGGGTTTCAGTCGACTATAGCAGGACCTAATAAAATTGATTTAAGCCACTATAATACCTTTTCTTAAGAGCTGTAAAATATAAAAGCAAATGTAAGTTAATCTTCATGGGCACTTAAATTCTTTAACTAAAATTAACTGGCTATATATTACCTATATTGTATACCTTTAGTATTTAAGGATGTTTCTTTGCTTTATATATTTTTAAAATTATAAAAATAAAACAACACATATAAAAAGTGTTCAAAATGCAAAACTACTAATTTGGTTGTTAGATTTGGCAATAGGTAAAAAACTTACTTTAAAGAAAATTTATGACGAGCTTTAACTTCATTTTATAAGATATAAAGATCTGCTTAAAAATTTTGTATCATACTCATAGCACGTTGAAAATGTAAAACACATAGTATAGTATAATATAACTCTTTAAAATCTATAAATTTTAAAAGACATCAAAACAGTAGCACATTCTTCAAGGGTATTAAAGTTGGCTGGTTGGAGGGGGGTTTAGTTTCAGTGGGCAGGGGTGCGTATACGTGATCGCAGCATTTCTTTGGTCTTTCTGCGGCGCTTTGTTTGCGCTGCTATCGATACTCCGCCACCCCCACTTCCGCCTCCTTTTAAGCCTTGTTTGCTCTTGGCAGTGGCGGGCGAAAGAGACAGCTGCACCAAGACAGAAAGAGACAGATGCAGAGAGAAGGTTTCGCTGTAGCGCGAATTTGTTGCAATTTCTCATTGTCAGCGAACGCGTTCGCCGGTAAATTTTGATTAAACGCTCCCCGGGAATTCACTTTGCCTTGCACTTTTTTGTTTTTATTTTTCTGCCGATAGGAGGTGGCATCCCCATCCCACAATCCCCAATCCCAAATCCCAGTTGGTGGCCAACTCTTTCATTTGAATTTGATAAATGGCGCTCGTTGCAAAGCGATATGTTATGCAATTTAGGGATTTCTTTTTTGTTAAAAAATATTGAGGCGATAGCTAAATGTTTGTACAACTCGGAAATAAATGAACTGGCAGACAAAGAGAAAAGGAAGCGATGAGAGTTTAATCAGGCTTTTGGAAATCAATTTTTCAAGGGTCTAGAAGAGGTGAGTTATCTCTGGGGCCTCGTGAGAATGTAAAGCCACCAATAGTTCCCAATTTAAGTAACTTATCTCGAACCTGTGTCCTCAAGATTAAATCGATTTCACTTAAGTACAAAACCCTATAATAAACCAGCTTAAATGGGAGCAGGTATAATATAAAAATTACAAATTGCAGAACCTGAACTCGAGGCGACACGACAAACAGGGCCAAATTGATGCCTGGCCGACAAGTGGTAATAATAATTTCGAGCCAATTAATCAGCGTTAAACCTGAGCGTCAACATCGCCACAATCTCCTTTTCTTTATTTTTCCTGTTTTTACAAATATTCCGCCAAAGGGGAATCGAATAATTGCCATTCGAAATTTACGTAAACAACCATCGATGGCAACACTGGTCAAAAAAAAGCACACAGCTAGGTCTAAATGAACTTGGCCACTCTAATCCTTTTCCTAATCTTTCTTCCATTCTCCCATTCTCCATCTTGCATCTCGCTTTTTCACTGACACCTTACGCTGAGGCTATCTCCCTTTTTTACTGACACTTACGTTGGCCTTACGTTTTGCTGACACTTACGAAGCATCTTGCATCTCCCTTTTTACTGACACTTACGCTGAAGCTATCTCACTTACTTACTTACGTTTTGCGTTTGTTTTGAAATCAGCAAATAAAATAAATCATCCGCCACAGAGCCCACCGAAACAAATATTTCGCATTTTTGCGTCTATTTTATATTTATATTTTATTTGTTGAAAAGTTATTGGTAAAATATTCCGTCCAGACTTTGCCATTTTACAGATTAAAAGTCCATTCCATTATGCCGTATGATTTTTAGTTTTCATGTAAAATGTTTGTTCAAGTGTAGGAAAATTATGAAAGTGGGCTTGATTTTTTAATTAGAGTGAAATCAAATGGACTGAATCAAGGTATGAAGATATAAAAGGTAAGGTTTAATAATAAGAGTGGTGAATTGAAAGTATAAATATCTAGAGGGTTGTAATAATTTTTAAAAATATAAGCAAATGTCGCAACCGGCACGCGTTAGGGACTTATCTGCCCAGCAAGTTGGCAGCCCCGTTTGCAAAACACGGTCAAAAAAAGCACACAGCTTCTTGGCCACACTAAAAAATTCCTTTCCTAAAAAATTCCTCCAAAGAAAGTCACGTGCTCCTGGTTTTTCAGATATTTTCATTAAATTTTTTTTTCATTAAATAAAGTAAGAAGTTCTAAAATAAGATCAGTTCAAAAGGTAACAATAATTTTTACGCAGAAATGAAGCAGCAGACTGGAAAAAAGAACGCCCCCAAGGCCAAATCGAAGGCCGCAGAGCCGGCGAAGAAAGGCCAACCTAAGGTGGCCACTGCAGAGACCGCAGCTCCTGCGAAATCTTCTGCCCCTGTAGTGTCTTCGAAAAAAGTAGCCAAGGCTCCAGCCGTGGCTCTAAAGAGTATGGAGTTGGCCATGAATGAGACGGCTAAAAAGAACCTTGAAAAAGCCTCTTCGAAAAAAGTAGCCAAGGCTCCAGCCGTGGCTCTAAAGAATATGGAGTTGGCCATGAATGAGACGGCTAAAAAGAACCTTGAAAAAGCCTCTTCGGCCAAAAAAGCAGCCGAATCTTCTGGAAAGAAGTCAGGAGCAGCTTCGGAACCTTCGGTACCGGTGCCCAATACAAAGAGGTCTGCACCTCCGGCAAAGAAAGCTGGAGCTCCAGCTCCCAAAAAGGCATCCCCCGTTGAACCGCCAAAGAAAATCGCTGCTCTAGCCCCAAAAACCGAAAAGAAGGAAGTTGTAGCACCCAAAGCGGAAGCAGATCCTGAAATTACTGGAAAAAAGACTGCTGCCGTGACCAAACCAAAGCCCAAGCCGAAACGCCCGAAGAATGTGCTGCGCGGAAAAAAGTTGCCCAAAAAGAAGGTCTGGGAACGCTTCGTCATCGATTGCGACTGCGTGGCCGAGGACTTGATTCTGGATGTCGCCGACTTGGAGAAGTATTTGAAGACCCACCTCAAGGTGAAGAGCAAGATCAACCAGCTGAACGACCTGGTGACCTTCGAGAGGGTCAAGAACTCTACGTTGGTCATCCACAGCGGTGTGCACTTCTCGAAGAGGTACTTCAAGTACCTGACCAAGCGCTATCTCAAGAAGCACAGCCTGCGCGATTGGGTGCGAATTGTGTCCACTGGCAAGGATACCTTCTCCATGTGCTACTTCAAGATCCAGGGACAGGACGATGACGACGAGGATGATGCCAAAGCTGAGGCAAAGGCCAAAAAATAATCATACACTTTAAAAGCATTTATAACATCCTCATAAGAATTCAATTCTCAAAAAATCATTCAGTAAACTTCCGTTTAACCTTTTTCTGATTCTTAAAAGGCTGTACTAATTTTCAAAGATTTTTGATTCACAAAAACATGTGTTTTTAATTATTAAGTGATGAGGTACTTTGTACTTTACACTCATTCCATCAAAACTAATAAAAATTGTTTTTCCTGAAACATTAATTTCAAAATATGTACATCTTGTATTTTGAACTTTCCACCTATTCCATCAAAACTGTAATAAACATAATTGCTTGCTTAACTCTCGTGTTATAACTTTTTTTAATACTTTAAATTATTTTACTTATCATATCCCGACGAGATAGAAGCCCTATTCTTTTTAAACCTTTGTGCTTAGCTGCCTGATTGAAAAACTGAATGATACGACTTTAAGGGCAGGTAGTAGGGACTGTTTCCTTGGTGAGGCTGCCTTTTTCGCATACGGTCTTAAGTTTTAACTTGGACGATTGACATTTCGGAGAGGGCCTCGAGTGGTTTTCGTCTTGTTTTGATTGGGAGGAGCCAACTTTGTTTTCTTTACCTTTTTACGCTTTTGTAAATACCTTAAATTGCCCCATTGGTTGGGATTGTTTTCGATGCCAGGCGGCTTAATTGCTTCGCTGTGGGTCTGCCAAATGGCCAAAACCATGGGCGGGGATCTGAGGAAGGGGGGCTCAGTCAGTCGTCTGTCAGCGTTGGCCGTAGGTGGTCCATAACGAGCTAATGAAATGCGAATCCAACGAAAATGCGACCAACCGAGTGAGTCAGGCAGCTGTCAAAATCGAAATCAACCTGAGCACTTGCAGGTTCGTTCTTTTTTATTTTTTCGCTTTCAACTGGGGGCCAAAAGAACACAATGGCTGGGGCAAAATATTCACGACAGTCGAGGAGGAGAATACAAAGCGAAAATAAACATAAACGTCATGCAAATCGTATGGTAATTGCTGTCATCGCCGGCTCTTGTCAAAACGGGTTGAAGTGTTTTGTAAATGCCAGAAAAAATTAAATTCCAGACATGCAGACGAGTACCAATAATAATAATAATGATAATGTAGGGGGAAGTCAAGAGAGACACACACGCGATTATTATTTTGTCAAATGGGAAAATGATATCGGGTCGAAACTGAAGGAGCATCATTGGGAGGGGCTTTAAAAATATCTGACAGCTAGTGATTATTAAAATTGATTGAACTAACACCCATAGATTATGACCATATTTACTCCCATTAATAAACTTTTTAGCACGTGTTAATTACCTTGAAAGTTTTTTTATTAAACATTTTTAGCATGTGTTAATTACCTTAAAAGTTTTTTTTATTTAATTAATAGTAAACATTTTATGAGGTTATAATTCGCTTGATGAGCCTTTTTCATTTAACAGTATTGAGTATTTTTAAACAATTGATGACACTTTGTAGATTAAACATGCGTTAATCAAAGTATACATATCACCCCTGTCAGTTTGATATTCATATGAATGGTAACTCCCTTTAGAAGTTGCTAGCCCTGTTTTAAGTCGCAATCAAGTAGGCTCTTAATTATGGGCAAACGTCATTCAGATCGAGAATCTCGTTGTAAATTGACGCGGAATAGAGTGTAATCCATTCGGACTCGAGGTTAGTTAATCCCTGTCCCTGGGCTAAGCTAATTAACACATCGATTACAAGGTTGTGCGGACAGTGTCGCTTAAAATTGATGGGGCTCGTTAAAATATCTCCGGTGTCTGCGATTACGAGGCCTTCTGGTCTTGACTCCGCCAACTGGTTGGGTCTATTTTTAGGGCCAGTTCCCTCGAGGAGCAGGTGCAGCTGCCTCAGAAGTCGCTGCATAGATGATATTCTTGGTCAATGCGAACCAGTTGGTGGAACCCCATCATCATTATCTTCTGGGTCTTCTGATGATACGCCATCAAGTGTAGGTGACAGATAGCCTCGGTCTGCCAATATCGCTTACTTCCAGACAATGGTTATCCACGCTTTTGGGCCACACAGGTTTTTCTGTTTTGTTCCGCAGGCGTTGACACTTTTTGCCTTAATCCAATTTAGCCAAGTTTCGAGGTCGTTGCTTGGACCTTGGTCACGTTTCAAGTTGGTAAATCACACTCTTCGGTTTTTTCAGATCACTTAACTGGCACATCAGCTTGAACGCTTCTCGTGGATCACTTCTGCAAAATGTCAGATTTCAAAAAGTAAGTTTGTGATTGGAATTCGATATTTGATTGAATTATTATTCCTATGTTTATTCCCGCAGATATTTTAACCATGGCAACATGGTGGGTCTAGCCTGTGATGAGGGCTTGGTACTGGCCACCAATTCGAGGGATCATCTACTCTACCACCTGGATGACAGCATCTTGTGAGATTATTTTATATATATATTATCAAATATTGGACTTAAAACTTTCTTGTAGTGGGTAGTATCTATTACTTAAAGACATATATTAATCCTAGCTAAAAATATTTAAATACTTACTAGATTTAAGAATATATAACAAGATTATATATATAATTTTTTTTTTATTTACTTAAACCTTGATCCATATTATTAATCCCTAAAATTAAATATTTATTATTTATAATATCTTTACCTTCAATCCACAGCTTGTGTGCCCCACGATCCGCCAACAATCGCGATAAAATCCTACAAGTGTGTGCCCAGGTGGAATACATAACCCGAGATCTAGGACAAACAATTACGGTGGACCAAGTGCAGGATATGCTGAGCTGGAAATACAAGGACGAGGATTCCGTGTACACTCTAACAGCTGGTCAGGACGGCAGTGGCCTCCACATCTACAGCTTGAAGTCGAGTAAGGGATCGCGTAAAGTGATGTATGCAGTCAGGGGCACCGAGGAAGATGACATTCTGTCCTATTTGCTGGAACACTGGAGGCAGGACTTGAAACTCAGTGAGGCTGAGCAGCTAGTTAGGGACTTACTCAAGTTGAACGGGAATGACTACTTGGACCTGTGCGTCATCTACAAAGCTGAGGAAAAAGAGTTCTTCGATGGGCCTCAGAAGCAAGCAATCGAGGGCTTCGATGAAAACGGGTCTGACTGATCGCAGAAGAGCCATATCTATACAATAATTAAACGCACCATTCCCATTTCACGTTGAAATAAATGAATTGTTGATGCCTGTCTGCCTTCCCTGTAATTAGCCGCATTTCTCAGCGTTTTGCAAGTTGGCTGGAAATAGATTAGCCGCTCCTCCCACTGGAAATGGTGCAGCGCCAGCACAAGTGATTTATACTCCCTCACCCTCGGCTGGGATAATTAATAATGATTAAAAGCTGGCGCCCATCAACGGGCAGGCAGCTTTGAGTCCTTGCTAGCGTTATAAACGTGGCTCTACCATATAGATCCCCACTAACCAGATCCGCTGGCTCGCCTCCGGGGAACTGACATCCAGCTGTGCGGATTAACTTGAATTTATATGTTGTGGCTGCATTTGAATAATTCCATATTCGAGCTGGGAACAGGGATCTCTATCTCTTTGTCCATCCCCTGTGCGTGACCAGGCTTCATTTGCTCCTCCTCCTCGGCCAGTTGTGTGGTCCCCTCCACTTCCATTGACAGCTCCTGGGTGGCATTATGCTGTCTGCTCCGGATTTTCACTTTTCTGGCTGCAAACCGGCAGTTGCTAATTGATTTCTACGTAGATTGGACTTCTTGTTAATCGGTTGCTCGCCGGTTAAATGGATCTCAGAAGGATATGATTAAGGATCGGCAGGGGGAAAAATGATAGCCCATTTTTCAATTAATATCAACTAAAGCTATTTATTTGGGTTTTGTATATTTGTACTTAAAAAAATCAGTTTATATTTTAACCAAATTAATTTAAATTTTCTTAAATGATTTCTGAACATTTGGTTAATTCGTTTTTTAAAGTTCAATATAATAAGTTTAAATAATTAGTTATACATTATAATATACTGTTTAGAATCTTTAATATAACAAAATAAAACGATTTTTGGAAATGTTTGCATAACTAAAAAAATAATTACTATTTAAGAAATACAAAATATAATATGTTTCATAATTAAATTAGTTAGAGGTAAGTACAAAATTAAATGGTATTTAAATTCTTTAAAAAGCATGAAAAGCAATTTGGATTTTAAACAAATTTAAATATTTACCACCTCACTTTCATTTTTATGAGTTCGAGCTTCACTGTCTTGTCTCATCGTAACTCCCCATCCTTATATATCACATCTGTTGCACAATACCAATATTTTGGCAGAGGCGAAGTTCGCTTTCTGTTGATAAGCAAATATTTCAGCGACATTTCCCTCTCCTTTATTTATTTTCGCATTTTTTCGTATTTCAACTCCAATCCGAAAGTGCAATGTCTGCCAAAAATAAAATGTCAATGCCAAGGCGATAAGAGAAGAAGGATGGGGCGGCCAACAAAATCAAACATCAAATATTCCCAATAAATTAAATGCGGCCAGTTCCGAGAAGGACCCATCCTCTTTCTCTGGCGGCATTCAATAATATTTCACTTTCAATCCGCTGAAAGGTGCGAGGAAGCTGCTCCGGGGGTTCCGGGGGATACCCATGAATACGAAATCGAGTGGTGCTACCTGGTGATATCTTTATTTACCCCACCCCAGTACGTAAAAAAGGAGACCGGGGTGCACAAAAATGCAGACAGTGTCACCTTTCGGCGGCTCGAGGTGGAAATATATTTATGTGGCATGCAAGTTGCAAGGTGTGACAACATGAAAATTTATCTGCCCCATCTCTGCAGCACCTCCGTCTCCTGACCACCTCCCGCATCCCAGATCCCGACTTCAGGGGCAGAATATATGTGGTTTCCGAGTTGGGGATTGCCATCTTAATGCGACATTAACTCGGCGGAATCTGTGTATTTGGCCCGGGCAAATATGAGGTGCATTATGTACACAAATGGTCCGGGCGGAGGGGATTATCTATGGGCTTATACACCTGTTGCTCTGGGCAGATAAATGGATCACAGCTGTTGCATCAGTAGAGTAAACAGAATAACCCATTTGTGTATTTACCAAAACGTGATATAAGTCAAAATATATGGATATTTATGATGCCATATTTTGTTATTCCCCACTAAACACTTTTTCTCATGTTTAACTTAATAACTCCCATTTCTATAAAATAATATTTATCCTTACAATGTTTTCACCATTTTTGCTGAACACTGTAAACACACTTTGTAAGTCACACTTTTTATGTCGCTTTCTTGTCGACTGTCTCTGCATAATTATTTATTTTTTTATGACTGCCGCTGCATTGGCAACTTTAATGAAATTGGACATGCAACATAAAGTAATTTATTTTTAATTAATTTATAAATGCAGCCACATCAAAAATGGCCGCCGAAACAAACAGGAGCCGTGAATTAAGCCCCAGTCGTAAATAATTTTTATATCTCGCATTCCCCTCTTTATAGATTTTAATTTTTTTTATTTTTGTGAGTTTAATTTCAGTTTTATTTTCGCCGCTGCCTTTGCCGCATGCAACAAGCGGCACGAAGTGTCGCTGACAGCACGTCATCAGCACTTTGGGCGCAGGGAAATCGGGGGGCGATTGGCCACGCCCCCTATATATCGGTGGGCGTGTGCGAGGCAGCAATTTCATTAAAATTTACTGCACACTGCAGCGGCGAAAAAATTGTTGCGGTCAATTAACGTCAGCAACGCGTTGCCATCGCTGCGGCATAAGCCCTTCACCCTTCACCGCCCCGCCCCCTTTTCCAAACCGATTTTCCGCCCTTTTCCCCGGCTTTTCCTCCCAACACCCCCCCAGCTCATTAACAGCCGCCAGTGCGCCGATTTTATTCCCATTTTGCATCTCTATACGAAACTTTTTGTTTATTATTGCTGGCGTGAATAAATAAATAAGTTCCATTGACATATGCTCAAATAAATAATAGAGCGCATTTAAATTATTGCCCGCAGCTCGGGGCAGGATGTTCCATACAGACAGGAAGGAAGGATGGCTATATGGATGGGTATACGGAGGGATGGAGCGCAGGCCTCTGCGATGTGGTCGTGAGTTATGATCCTGACGGGGAGACCACAAGACCCGCAGAGCCCCATAACAATAAACGGCGGAGCCTTCGAGCCGATGACGATCATTTTTAATTTCGCACTCAACAAAAGCCCAGAAAATTACAATGGAACCCAGACCCCGAAGAAGTGAGTGAATAATTTGCAGAAACTACATTAAAAGAAGAAGGCTGTATCGCAGAAAACGAACTATTAAATACCCCATTAATCTGAAAAGGTAACAATAAGAAAATATATAATATACAATTCTTTTATTACTGTATTTATATGTATTTATATCTTTTATTATTATTACACAATATTATTTTAAGTTTTATTTATTTTATTTCAAGGAACCTTTTGAAAACGGTTTTTACCAGGGACTGTATCTTTGGTATTATGCAGGACCAACGAAAAAAGTTTAAAGCTTGAATCAATAGAGACAATCATCATATATATTTTTCCGTTCTACCTAACGTGTTTTATAATTATAATGAAAGTCTATATTTATAATGAGTTTAAAAAAATTTTATATCCCAACCGTAGTTCTTACCCAACTGATTACCAACTTATGAATACCCTGTGAAAGAGTAGCACCTCAACTACATCTGCCAAAGAATGCAATTCCAGAACATGGAATAATTAAAAATCAGCGGAATGGTCAATTTCTTGGATGGTAAAATTGCGAATTTAACGCTGATAAAAAACCTGACTTTAACAACACCATTTTTTCCAATTTATAGCTATTCTCTTCATTTCCATATACTTGCAGCTCTATTTCGCTGCCATCAAATCACTATGGGAACCCAATCAAATGCACTTTGCCTGGAGAAACCCAGCCACCTAATTGATAAACTTTTCCACTAAACTAATTTGTTTTTACGCAGACTCAATCAGAGCGGCCGAGCAGAGCAAGTGAAAAGAATTTAATTAAGCTGCAGAAGCCAAACCAAAATGTTCCACAAAATCGAACCGGCGGAGGGGAAAGAGCTCCCCAGACGGAGATACCATGCAATGGGTGCGCGTGTGTCGGAGCCCCCGGGAAGTTGACCCCAAAAGGTTCTCCAACCCGCAAAAGCCAACATATTAGGCCTCCTTTTCCAGGGGCGTGGCACAATAACACAGACCCTCTCGCAAAGGAAATTGCAGATGACTCGCTGGTCAGCCGAACCGCAAATTAGTTTCGCTTTTGAAGGGATTGGGATTCTCCTCGGGTGAATCTGGCTACCAATGTCAAGCAGAGTCCAAGCCTGAATAAATATGAAAATATTGTTCAAGTAACCAGTAACCAGCAAACCAGAGCCCGAGGCGTCTTTCCTGGAATCAGAAAGAGCAACCGGAATAACAATAACAACAATCACCCCCATGACACAGGGCTCTGAAAAAGGGACCGACACACCGGGAAAAAATAGTACAGCAATATCAAAACAACATAATTTAGTAGGCACATAACTTAATTAACCCATATTCCATTCAGTTTCGTTAAATCATACTTCTTAAGATATCAGAGCTGTCACATAAAGTTATATTACAATACGTTGTTAAATAAGGCACCAATCTTATAAAATAACATTTCCTTTTATATATATTTTTAATATAAGATAATATAAAATAAAATATTTCTCCTTTTGAAAAGGCTTCGATTTGTAGTAGTGAGTGGGTTTATTAACTTATACTTATCATATAGGGATACCACATCAAGAGATATCAAAATACGTTCTTAAGCAGAGGTAACAAACTTATAGATTAAAAGTAAAAAAAAAGTATTATTCAACTATTCTTTGATTTAAAAAATAAAAAGACATTATATCTATTCACTAATAGTTTTTATTTTAACTAATTTTGGGTAGTGTTACTTATTTTCTCTTATATAAGGAAAACATCTTATGAGCCCATTACAACTTTGATAGTATCCAATAGATACACATCCTTAATATTTGTGTAGGTTTTTTTCTCAGTGCTAGGGTCCAGAGGTCCCTCCTTCCCTTTTGTTCTCACTCCAGAAAATTGACGCGAGCCGCGCTCCAAAATCGCTCCAAACGTTGTCATCGTTGTCGGTTGTTGGGTTGTTGGGTCGGTTGTTGCA